TTAAGATTTTATTCATCTGGAAGTTTCCAGGTTTGTAATAATAATTCAATTAATCTACCTATCAACATTTTAAAATCCACATTATTTTAATAATGTTTATGCATAGGTACCTATAATAACAGTACCAGTAACTTCTTTTAACTGAAAGAAAACAACAAGTGTTATTAATTGCACAAATTTGACAACGAAACAAACAAAAATATAAAATGTAATACTTACCATATTTTAGGTGATTTCGCATTCATTACAATAGGCAAGCAATTCGTATTCATAATGAAAAAGATGAGGTAATAAAGTTGTGTAAATAAACTATATTGAGAATTCAAATGACTTAAAATAATATCTTGGTTGACGTTTATCTGTCATTCAATTCGAGTGAAGTCGCTTCACAACTTTAACTCAGTGCATTGTGTCCGCACAACAAAGAGTCCACTAAGTATTGTTCATGAAATGAACGGCCTGCAATGACGAACGCAGTGAGAAATACCGTAATTAGGATAGTGTTGCTGTGTGCCATACTTGTGTATGTGTCGTTCGTGAATACGAGCCAAATATTCGCTGCGCGAACTTAGCCTGTTGTGGCTAAGTTTTATTGACTCACTTTTCGTGCTCATACTGGGCTTAAGGCCTTTATTATTCTAAGAATATGACGTAATGCAACACCTAAAATACATCCGCAATGCGTGTATATTCATTTCACGTGTGGACCGCATCGGATTTTGTTTTCGTTCATTAGAGTTAAAAACAAACCTGAATTGAATAAATAAATAGTTTTGATTTTGACTCTGACGTGTCCATGCATGCGACGTGCTCCGCTGGCGGGTTCCATTTGTTGGTTTAAGATAATTCTTCTGGCACCAGCACACACGTGTGTAAACGTGGTATTAAAAATAGTCTCGCTGGGTTTCTTGCTGGTTCTTCCCAGGACAGAAGTATTTTTTCGAACCAGTGGTAATCAAACAAAAGTGACTTTCAATAAGAATTATTTATAATCTATATTGAATAAAAAAGTTTCTGTTTCTGTTTCTGTAACTCTTCGAGCAGTTCCAGTTGCATTCACCGAAGTACACTTTCAGGTCACTATACAATGTTTGGGGGTAAGTTCTCATTATAACTAACACGCTGGTTTGCCCACTCTATAAAAAGAAAGTATATTTATATATAAATCTTACGTACTTTTAGCGAAACAAAATATTGTAATGAGAATCAAAAAATAAAATCTGTGATTATAAAAATAGTCAAGTATATATCTTTGGTTTTTGGAATACTTTGTATTTATACAGCGATCGATATTTTTGCTGCCTATTACCATTCACATTCATACGTGTAGGGCGTCCCCCAACTAGATGGAGTGATGAGCTGGTAAGACATGCAGGAAGTCAATGGATGCAGGTGGCTTGGTACCGTGCTTTGTGGCATTCCTTGGCAGAGGCCTATGTTCAGCAGTGGACATGTGAAGGGCTGTAATGATGATAATGATGATGATTACCGCTGCTGTAAGCAAACGATACAACTCGACGGCGGCCGAGCCCGAAGTGCGAGTGTGCTGTGAGGCAAAGTGTATTTATTAAAATAAATTATTACAAGATTTCTCAGCCGAAAAAAATTAATCGTAACTAATTAAAACAAAATTAAACTGCCCTTTATAGATTTAAAAAATAGATCGAGTTAAATGATTGATATTATCTAAAGTGATTGTGTGTACCCCTTCATTCGGACTTGATAAATCTACACCATAAGCCACTAAAACCAGTTGTTTATATGAAAAAAACAACTAATCAATTTAAAAAAAAATAAGTTCAACAATAATTTATCATTCTGACAATGTGCTTTTTTATATCATTTCTATATCCAATATGATTAGTAGATACAATTTCATGCGACAAAACGTTGTAATCTTGATTTTAGGCGCTAGTAGAATACCTACGCGCTTTGCACTTAAGGCATAAATTAAAAAATATTATATACTGATCATTCCACCAACGTATAATCTATCATGAGAAAAACTGACCGCGCAGGCGCAATATACTATAATATGCAACTGCGCATGTGCCGCTCTACTATCCCCCGCGTACGCGCGAAGACATAGAGTAGCGCTCGTTTCAACGGCTCCTACGTATAATATGGTAACCCACAAATTGGCGATTTTTATGTTCTAAGTGATTTGAAATCAAATATTTCTTTTCTATCTACTCTTTAACACAAATGTAAATATCTTTAAAAGAACAAACACTTTGTTCGCGTATACAAACGGATGTAATAGAAGCAGGCGTATTGTCCTCAAAGATAATTTACGGGGTAAAGGTGCGCGGAGACAGCGTAGCGGTGCTTATGGTAACAATTATGTATATACATTTTGGTACGCAGAGAGTGTTCGTACATCCTCATTTGCCGTGTCAATTATTATTTAAGTAGTTGATTACAGATTTGAAGTAAGTTTTAAAAATAATGAGTAAACTATCTTCAAATAATGAATCTAATTATATTGAAGGGCTTGCAAGCTATACGATATTGCTTGTTATCGGCAAGTTCAAGAAATATTGAATTCAATTCTTATTTTTTCGTCCATTTCATAACTGAATATATAGGAAAATTCTACCTTAATGGTAATTTGGAAGAAACCGATAGATCACTTGGTAAGTAGTTTCGATACGTAAGTATTATTATTCATGAAGTTGTCAAAATATGCCTAATTTTTTTTTCTAGTTGGTTAAAACTGTAGTGACACAAAAAATTATCTACGCTGTTTTTGCAGAAAAAATATTGTGTTTTACAAACAATATTTTACGTCGTATATTAAATTGATAATTTTATCGTATGTTACACGTTCAGTTTTTTACGTGGTTTAAATAGATGTGTTCGTTAGTATAAAATATGTATTCATTGCTATTGTAATATTTTATTACAATAGTTTAATTAGGTATTACAAAATAGAAATATATCTTATGTTCTTCTTTTTTTATTTTATAGCTTTCTGGAATCAAGAAGATCATCATAGACATTTGGTATACTTATAACACTTTTTAGGGTGTTACTAACCGGCTACGGTTATCGGAGAGTTAAGGGACTCGAGGATCAAAATAAAAGTATCCCAGGGCGCCTGTTGTTGGATGATTAGTAAATGAAAATGCAAAGATACATATACAGACAAAAAATAGTTTATTTCCTTCTAAAGTTCACATGTATAGCTCCTAATATCAAGTTTTCACTTTAAAATACCCTACGAACTGAGGTTTTGACTAACCTGGTGGATTACACAATATTACACTGTTTATGGTCAATCCCGCGAAGCAGTGAGGCAATAGATATCCTCCAGGTGTACGCCGGTCGCGGTCTCCTGGCCGCCCAGTCCCAATATAGCCACCCGTTGAAGCTGCCTCGCCTCGTTCACATTGTTAAACTTGATAATGGACCATACTCAAAGTACGGACTAAGGACTAAGGACTTAGGACTAAGGACTAAGGACCCCTATGACAAGGCAAAAGAATCTATGAAACACCGTGTACCGTTAATTAGAGCACATGTGCTTTTAAGAAGACAAAAACATTAAGTACTTACAATTTATGGGATGATGTGTTTCAACACATTAAACTGCCCGTAGACATTGTGTTTAAGGGGCCGTACGCCCAAGTAGTCGTCACTTTAAATTCATGTTCCGGCGTTTCGATTCAAAAATTATATATGTGCGTGTCCGATCATTACAACGGCTCGCTCCAAAAAGAACTAGGCCTCCCTTGGGCTACACGCCACCGTCGATCCGTGGTAGGATTTTGAACTAACACGAAAGGTCAATTGCATGCAATTAGCTAGCTCGATTCGTCAATATACGTTTCTAGTTACTTCGGACTAATGACGTTAGATGGCGCACTGAAGTCTGTTCATCGCATGTAATAACGTAAATATGCTAAAATAATGTACACGAAAACTTTTGTGTTACACATCCCCTTTGCTTGGGTTAAAAAGTTCTTCGAAATGAAGATACTTTTTCCGAAGACATTTCGTGCCATCTGCAGAACAACGACTGAATACCAAAGACAGTGAAGAAGTTGTAATGCGTCTCCAATCCAATCTGGCTAAAAACATTCACACGGATAGTAAATTCCAAGTCACCCATGCACCAACAACTAACAAGTACCAAGCCATCACTTAATCACTTAATTACGACGTTTAATCTTACACAAGGCTCATTATTACTCTACTAATTACCTAATTTTCATTTCTGTATCTGTATACCTAGTAACATTATATTCCACTAAACAATTTAACCTCAAAATGTAATTACCTACTTGTGTTGTTAACACAAAAAAAAACACTACCACAAATTTACCTACTTGTGTTGTAAGTTAGAAAATACTACACTGTGTTATACCTATATTAACCTAATGGCATGCAACTTCATTTACATTTATTCCTACATGTTTTTACAATAATGAAATACAACCGCCTATGAATAATTACGTTCCCGAATCCTACGCGCGAATAGTCTATTACCATTCATGCGGTGCGTGACGTAACATCACGGGACAGAAACGAATACCTACAGTGCACTAAGCCTACACACGATGTTTACGTTTCGACTCGACTTTTCTCTAAGTAGTCGAAAAACGAACGTGTTCTTATTTATTAAGTTGAGTAGTTAAGTGATTTGGAAATAATATTAAGTATTAAGTTAAGTTAAATATCTATCTCGCATTAAGTTAAGTGAATTAACGTTTAATCATATAAAGTTAAAAGAAACAGCTTAAGTAATGCTACGCACTGGCTGGTATGCATTTTCTTATATAATGTCCAGAGTGCGGACATAAAGAACAAATTCTTATCTAACTCGCGCCGATGTTCACAACATAAGATGACCTACTAGTTATGTATCGCTCGTTCATCAATACAATCACAGCTTATTTATCTCAGAAAGTTCACCGGTGGAAATGAATTTTGAAAATGTTTATTATTCTTGCATTCTTTCACTCAATCATACTCTTCACTCACATTTTACAAAACTATTAGTCATCTTGTTTAAGGATGTCTTTTATGTGAAAATTATCTAGTGTCTTACCTTCCATGCTGGCTAAGGTATACACTAAAGGTGATAATTTCGCTGTTATGACACATTTTTGAAATTTTGGTGCTAGTTTAGCCGTAAATCTCTTTGAGGCATTAGATAGGTAATGGGTACGTTTATATACAATCTGACCTACTTTTAACTCAACATGTCGTTTTCTTAAGTTATAGTACTTTTCATTTCTAGAATGAGCATTTTTAATATGCTTTTGTACCTTTTTAAATATGGTGTCTAATTCCGCTAATTTTTTACTGTATGCTAGTGGTTCACCGAGAGTTACTTGTGATCTTTGAACTGGCTGAGTGCTATCTAAGCTGTGTAACATTCCATCTATTATGAATTCCCGTCCGTGCACAAGAAAATACGGAGTAAACTTAGTGGTATCATTCACGGCTGAATTAAGTGCGCATTGCAACTGTGGGATGTTCTCGTCCCATCGTTTATGCTCGGTACCTACATAACATGATATACCGTTAACTACGTTCCTAATCGCTCTTTCGGCTTGATTTACCTGTGGGTGATAACGCGGGTTATAATAGATATTCGGTACGTTATATTTATGTAACAGTTGCCTAAACTGATTAGACACATACTGTGGGCCATTGTCAATATAGATAGTCTTACATACGCCATGTACTAGGAACACTTTCTCTTCTATGAACTTAGCGACCGCAGCGCCTGTTGCGATCCGTATTGGATGCAACATGACATACTTGCTAAAATAGTCTGTACATACAATTAAGTGAATATTCCTATTGCGAGAAACCGGAAATGGGCCTAGCAAATCGCAACATATGGCCTCCCAGGGTTTGTTAACCTCCTTCGGGTTTCCCATTAAACCAGGTCTAGCCGTGTTGACGGGTTTGTATTGTTTACATATCTCGCATTTTTTAACATATTCTTTCACCTCTCGGTACATGCTGGGCCAGTAATAATTAAGACTAAGACGCTTGTGGGTTTTAAAGACACCCAAATGAGCACTAACTGGTTCATCATGACATTTCTTTAAAATATCTAACCTGTCTTCCTCGGGTACCACTAACTTCCAATTAAACTCATTCGTTAACTCATATTTATTTTTAGAGTACCTAAGCAATCTATCGTCTTTTACCATGAAGTTGGGATATTTGCGAGGGTTGGCCTGACAATCTTCGTATACATGTCTATACCACTCATCACTGGTTGCTGGCGTAGCGATTGCATCAACTTGAATCCTACTTAGTGCGTCTGGAATAACATTTAATTTACCTTTTCTGTGTTCTATTTCGAAATCAAATTGACTCAATCGCATGCTCCACCTGGCTAAGCGACCTGATGGGTTATTTAATTTATAAAACCATAATAACGAGGCGTGGTCGGTTATTATTTTACACTTTGTACCATCTACATAAGATCTGAATTGCTCTAATGCGTAAATCACGGCCATAAGTTCTCTCTCCGATGTGGAAAAATTAATTTCATTTTTGGCAAGAGACCGACTGCAGTATGCTATGGGATGTTCTACCCCGTCATAAGTCTGGGTTAAGACTCCGCCCACAGCCACTGAGGAAGCGTCACAATGGATAGAAAAAGGCAAATCAAAGTTTGGACATTTAAGTATCGGAGCAGACACTAAAGCGGTTTTTAAGTGGTTAAATGACTCATCTGCCTCCGTAGTCCATTCAAAGCGGACATTTTTGCTAGTTAATTTATTCAACGGTTTACTAATTTTCGAAAAATTGTTAATGAACCTCCTGTACCAGCCTGCTATGCCTAGAAACCTTTTAACCTCTTTAGCGGAAGTTGGAGTTGGATAATTCAAAATAATATCTACCTTTCCCGGATCAGTTCTAAGTCCATGTTTGTCAACTAAATATCCCAAGTACCTAAGTTCTCTACGGAAAAAGATAGACTTATCCATGTTTATAGTCAAGTTTGCGTCCCTGAGTTTTGCGTAGACCTTATGCAAGAGCTGCACATGTTCTGAGAAAGTGCTGGATATTATGATTATGTCGTCTTGGAAACAGATGGAACAGATACTTTGTTGTTAAATTCGGGACCAAATAGCCTATCCATTAATCTCTGCATTGTGCTTGACGCGGAAACAAGGCCAAACGACATTACATTGAATCTAAATAACCCCCTACGTGGCACTGTGAACGCGGTCTTATCAGCTGATTGCTCGCTATCATAGGGTATTTGCCAATACGCAGCGGAAAGATCTATTGACGTTAGGTATTTCGCGTCGCGGAGCTGGTCCAATATGCTGCTTATATACGGGAGAGGATACGCATCGGGTTTGGAAACTGCATTTAATTTTCTACAATCTAGACAAAGCCTTAGGTCCCCATTTGGCTTCTGAACCATTACTGCAGGTGAGTTCCAAGCTGACTGTGAAGGTGACACAACTCCCAAACTAAGCATTCTATCCAATTCTTTTTCAAGTGCTAGTTGCTTAACAGGTGATAATGGATAGTACCTTTGCTTAATAGGTTTGCTATCCCCTGTGTCTATGACGTGATGAATTAAATTGGTACGTCCCAAACCTACTTTAACTGTGTTAATTGTATCAAACTGTTGGACTAACTTATCCATGATTTGTTTTTGTTCTATGGATAAAGACTCGTATTCTTCAAGGCCTTTATTAAGAGAAACCGAATTTATGCTATTACATATTGATGACTCCGACTTTCGGTCAAACTGTACTTCGGATACAAGGTCACTCCCTAAGTCAAACACCTGCCAATAATCAACACCTAGAATTATAGGTGAAGTTATTTGTGCAACAACATAAAAGTTAATCACTCTGAAATTATTGTTAAATTCAATAGGTAAGGACATATACCCTAAGCAATGCAATCTCGTACCATCAGCAGTTCTTACGTAGTGCTCAGTGTCAAACCAGTTGAGTTGAAATCCGTGTTCTAAAAAGATCAAATGCGCATTATTTCCAAGAATGCTACAAGTTGCACCCGAATCTAATAAGCCAAAAGCTTGTAAGTTCAATATTTTTAATTTTAAGTATGGTCTTATATCCCTAGTATTTTTTTTAAACAGAACTACCTCTTCATTATTGGACGTATAAGACCTATTTTTATTAAAGGTGTTGGATAGTTCCGTGTTAACTAGTTTTTTGAATTGCAATTACTACAATCTGAACGCTTAACACCTTTTAATCCACACTTAAAACACACTAACTCTTTCGAATTGCATTGATTGGTGAAATGAGTGTTTAATCCACACCTAAAGCATTTCCTATCCAATTGCCTCGAAGAGCCAGCTTCATTCAGCACAGAGACTTGTTTACTGTGAGATCGCGGCGTTTGTTTATTTAAGTCCGCTGTAATTTTAAAGTTATTCAAGTTAGGTTCACTAAATTGTTCCGCACGCGACCGCGCAATTTCTAACTGTTTGCAATAAAGTTTAAGTTTGTCTACAGAGGTTATATCATGTAAAGCTAAATCTTTCATGTACTCTGGTCTAATGTTATGCATCAAGATTTCGAGTTGTTGTCTACTCGACAAAGGCTGAGTGAGTCGCGAGAACATTCCCTGCATAATGGAAAGATAGACTACTATCGTTTCGTGTCTGGCCTGTGTACGCTGCCTTATTTCATTTAATAGTTTATAGTCTAAATCGGGAATATCAAAGTCGTCCCTTAAGCATTTCAATAATTGTGAATATGTGTGGATATTATCCTTATTACTTCTAAACCAACATAAAGCAGAGTTTTCTAAAAGATCAGAAAAAGCTGAAAGTATGCGAGCTTCAGTAATGTTGCGAGCCTCTTTAAGTTCCTCAAGACGTTCAATAAATACACGAACACACGTGGTTCCGTCAAATTTTAAGTTAAATGTATTTAGGTTCAAGGGTTTATCTTTCACATAGATCACGTTACTTTCCACTTTCTGGTTAGACGGCTGTGCCTGGGTTTCCTTGTACTCACTATCCGTGTCGCTATCTTCACCGTCTATGACACTCAAAATGCGAATTAAACGACTACGAAGATCTGACAAATGCGAACTACTTTCAGAGATACGAGCTAGTCTATCCATCAAATAATTTGCACGACGAGACAGTTTAAGAGTCAAATTGCGATCATCTACTTTACCCGCCTGCAGCTGGGATTCCAGAAGTTCGACCTTTGGGGTGCAGATCTCTAGTTCAGAGGCTATATTGGGTGACTGGAGTGGTTCACACTTTATGCTTCCACGGCGTGCGAGTTTGTACACCTGGCGGATCTGCTTCCTCACTGCATCGGTGGTTACATTTTCATCTGTGGAAATACCAATAATGGCGAGTTCATATCTGATTTCATCTTTATGTAATGAGTCTATATACTTGTGGATCGACATTTTGTTAAAATGTACGGACGGTTACAAGAAAGTCTTAAATCGGTTGATATTAAAAATATCTACTTAAAATAGCACAAATATTTTTATTATGTTAAGTTTTAATTCATTTAAGTACATATAAATCACATTCAAGTTAAACTTTCTTTGTTCTTAAGCTTACTTAAATCTACCTACATCAGAAAAAAAAATGTTAACATTAAATTTCACTAAGTTTTCATATTAAATGGGTTTTTAACAGCTTAAATAGTTACAATTAAGGTTAATTCATCTACTAACATCCAGCAACTTAAGGTTCAACGTTGGGTAGCCACTTTATAACACTTTTTAGGGCGTTACTCACCGGCTACGGTTATCGGAGAGTTAAGGGACTCGAGGATCAAAATAAAAGTATCCCAGGGCGCCTGTTGTTGGATGATTAGTAAATGAAAATGCAAAGATACATATACAGACAAAAAATAGTTTATTTCCTTCTAAAGTTCACATGTATAGCTCCAAATATCAAGTTTTCACTTTAAAATACCCTACGAACTGAGGTTTTGACTAACCTGGTGGATTACACAATATTACACTGTTTATGGTCAATCCCGCGAAGTAGTGAGGCAATAGATATCCTCCAGGTGTACGCCGGTCGCGGTCTCCTGGCCGCCCAGTCCCAATATAGCCACCCGTTGAAGCTGCCTCGCCTCGTTCACATTGTTAAACTTGATAATGGACCATACTCAAAGTACGGACTAAGGACTAAGGACTAAGGACTAAGGACCCCTATGACAAGGCAAAAGAATCTATGAAACACCGTGTACCGTTAATTAGAGCACATGTGCTTTTAAGAAGACAAAAACATTAAGTACTTACAATTTATGGGATGGTGTGTTTCAACACATTAAACTGCCCGTAGACATTGTGTTTAAGGGGCCGTACGCCCAAGTAGTCGTCACTTTAAATTCATGTTCCGGCGTTTCGATTCAAAAATTATATATGTGCGTGTCCGATCATTACAACGGCTCGCTCCAAAAAGAACTAGGCCTCCCTTGGGCTACACGCCACCGTCGATCCGTGGTAGGATTTCGAACTAACACGAAAGGTCAATTGCATGCAATTAGCTAGCTCGATTCGGTAATATACGTTTCTAGTTACTTCGGACTAATGACGTTAGATGGCGCACTGAAGTCTGTTCATCGCATGTAATAACGTAAATATGCTAAAATAATGTACACGAAAACTTTCGTGTTACATACTCAAGGGAAGATATATTCAGTCTCGACAAAAATATACATTGAAGTAAAAATTACCTTTTCAAGCCACTGAAAACTCAGTTGGAAATCAACTTATTGTATGCAAAAAGCATTTTTTATCGACATTGGCGATAAGTGAACAAATATACACTGCGATAGGTACAATAAACTGACTCTAACGATGTCATCAGACATCGTGCTGATGATTATGGCCACAATAATCACTCGTTAACTAAAAAGTGGTCAAATAAAGGGTATGACCACATGAAATGTTTACATCCAGTAGAATCTCATTACGTTAGGAAAGAAACGGTCACACTCACTTAAAGAGTGACGTAAACCTACATTAGCTTTTCTATTCTGTATCTTGAATCTTCTTTGTTGTGTTTCTTGAATGGTTTGATCCTAATACTTATAAAACTGACTTGAAGGTTTTTGTTGATAAATACTCCGACTCGATTTAAATGAATGCATGCACTATAAAGGAATAAATCCGTGTAATTCACCGGATTTTTGCTTTATTGTGTTGAGAAAGTTTTACGTTTTTTTGTTAGTGTTAGTGTTACTTTTAAAAATCAATAATTTATTTATTTAATATCAACAATTTGTTGTTACTTTCGTGTTTTTAAAAAGCTTTTATGTATAGTAACTGGGCGTATCCATTACGATGTGTTTTTTTAAAAAAAATATTGCATGAATGTTTTAAGAATTTTTTATGTTTATAA